TAATTGTCTATTTATAGCAATGCAATCCCCGTGCCCCCCCCACCCCCCGGCCGGGACCACACTTAACTATTTGCAGAGTTGTTGCAGGCACAGGTCCAGGCATTCCCCTTCCACCTCCTCTGGAGTGATATGATCAGACAGCGGACGAAGTGGGATAGGGTCCTCTTCTCCGAACGGTCCCCTGAACTCCCCCAGGAACTGCTCCAGGAACCTGCGGCACGATTTCTCCTCGTTGGATGACCCGGACATGTCTTCTCATTCCTGGCCGGAGAGATGCTGGAGGAACGGCTGGCTGTAGCAAGAGCAGCAGCAGCGCTAACACTGGCAGCGAAAACTCTGCTCATACATCCTAGTAGAGGAACGGCGATGACGACAGCAGCGCGTCACGTGACTCTGGAGGGGAGGGGGCGTGTCCACACAGAGCAGTGCTTCATCTCATCTGTATGTGCATGTGCATGCTGTATGACAAACCACAGGCTCTGAGGAGGCGAGCTATCTATTCAACATGTACGCACTCTGTTGTCTATGGCAGCCAGTCAGACTTCATCCTCTATTCCCTAAGAGATTGACATGTTAAAGGGATGTGCCACCTTTTAGAAAAAGAAGATAACAAATACAGTTCATAAAAGAAAAAAAAATGTACAGTAAACTTCCCATTATCTGGCATTCAAGCAAATGGCAGAAACAATCCAGGACATAATATGTCCTCAATGTTTTTTGCTGGTGGCTTGATGCACACTAAAAAGCTGTTGGCCTTTTAAAAAATGTCGTTAGCAACTAAATTTATTTAGTTACTAACAAAATTCTTTGTTAACATCTTGCTGCCGGCAGGCGACTGGATTCAGTGGCAAGCAGCAGAATGTAAACAATGGGGAGAAATTGCCTCTCTGCTATTGGCTATTTCAATTGGCAAAAGCCAATAGCAAGCTGGCTATTGTACCTGCCAACGGAGCAGACCTGAGAGAGAACTTTCTATCTCGTTTGCGCCTCTCCTCAGTGGGCGGGGTTTCAATTGCGAGCCTGCTATTGGCTATTGCAATTTGAAATCTCAGGCAGGCTATTGCTTAAGGTGCCCATACACTGCTCGATTCTCGTACGAGAATCGCGGGAAATCCCGCGATCGTACGAGAATCGAACAGTGTGAACGAAGACGTGCGACCGTTTCTACTGTACGGTCGCACGTCTTTTGTCTAAGGAGCATGCTAGAAAACCAGCCAAGAATCGTACGATTTTTGGCTGGTTTGAACAGTGCTCGGGAGACAAATGCCGAACGGGCCGGTGTGCGCACGCGCACACTGCCCGTTCAGCATTGCGGTCATCGGAAGCCCGCCCCTCGGGAGAGGTTGCGATGATCGAGAGTGCGATCTGCCTGTCCAAGATGGGCAGATCGTACGTTTTTTTAATCACTTTACAACCATCGCAAGACCAAGGTCTTGCGATGGTTGTACAGTGT